TTTCACAGATGAGGAAACTGAGATGGTCAGCAAATAAATAAGCAAAACAAGCAGTGCTTTATGGTTATTAAGTATTATAGGGAAAATAAAGCAAGGAAAGGGATTAGGGGATGCCAGAGGCAGGGGCAGGTCAAGGAAAGGCTCACCAAGGTTACATCTAAGCTAAGACCTAAAGGAGGTGAGGGAGCAATGCATTTTAGATGGAGAGAAAACGCAAAGGCCTTGAATCATGGCTGTGCCCTGGTGTTTCAGGAAAAGCAAAGAGACTAGGGGAGCAGAATGAAGAAAACAAGAGGGTAAATCTGGAGAGATGAGGCACAGCGATAAGGAGGGAGGACGGGGGACAGGGAGTAGAAACTAGAGGGCTCTTACGGTGGGCTCTTATTCAAAGTGAGATGGGACCCATGAGAGGGTTTTGAGCAGAGTGAAATGATCCCTCTGGCTGCTGTGTTGAAAAAAACCAAAACTATAGCGTATAAGGGCAGAAGCAATGATCCAGGTGACAGAATGATGGCAGCTCTGTACCAGAGGTGTAGTGGTAGAGCCAGTGAGAAGGGGTCAGAGCTGAAGGTGGAGCTGGCAGAATTAGCCAAGGACTGGATGTGGGGTGTGAGGAAAAGACAGGAGGCAAGGCGGGCACGTTGGGTTCTGGCCTGGGCACCTCAATACTGAGACGAGGAGGATGCGGAGAAGCAGGCTTGGGGCAGTCAAGTGGATGAGAGGAGGCCAGGAATTCAACCTTTGACATGTTGAATGTGAAATGCCTATTTAGACATCAGCCCCAATTAAATCTATGAGAAGCCTCTTCAGGTTACTTCAGATTCAACTTACATTAACGGAGCACTGTTAAAAAACAAAATTCAACCGAGTAACTTTGAAGATCTAAGTGGCTTTATTAAACGACTCATGAATTGGGCAGTATCCCATCTAGCACACAGAAGGGAGCTCGGAGAAGTTGCACAAAAAGAAAGGTTTTTATAGGCAGAAACTGGGCGGGACAAGAAAGTTATTAACATAAGACAAGAAAGGATCATTTTTTTCCAGGCAAGTGTACTTTTCCTGGGGGAAGGGCAACATGGTTCTTATCAGGCAGATTACCTCACTAGTGTTGATCAGGAAATCCCAGATTGATTGGTTTAAGGTCGCATTTCTGGGATGGGCTGAAACGGCAATTAAGTCTGGTTTGCTCTCCTTGGGGCCTTGGGCCTGTTCCTTTTTTTTCAACAGTGCCTACTATGGAGGCAGGTATTATGGTTAGGAAAGTGGGGTCTGGAAGTCAGATGCTCGGTTTCTTTCCCAGCTCTACTAGGTACTGTAAATTCTGTGACCTTGGGGAAATTATTTAATCTTTCTGGGCCTCAGTTTCCTCATCTGTAAAATGAAGAGAGTAACTAACAATAGCTATGTCCCTGAGTAGTTGTGAATCATACATGTAAAGCACTTAGAACCTCATTTGTGCTACTGAGCAAGTGCAATAAATGTTATCTATTTATGTTATGTTTCATCTTGTTAAATGCTCACAACAGTCTTCTGAAATAATATGAAAATGAAGGGACTCCAGCAAGTTGGAATAGCTAGGTGGAAATGGGCAGGAAAGACCTGGCTCATTCTTCTACACAACACTGCCTCCCAATGCCAGAACAGCGAGTCACAGCTTGTGAAACACCCAGAAGTGTCAGAAAAGGTACACACAGAACAGCAAGCTTGTTGGCAAACACTTTTAAACAAAACAAAACAGCAGTTATCTGTTTCCTGGCTTTCTCAAAAGTTACCCAGGCTGTTTTCTTTAGGGTAAGGCGGTAGACAGATTTGTGAAGAATCAGGAAATCGTGGTTCTGGTACTGGCTATTATATTAATAGTTGTGTGACCTAGGGCAAGTTATTTTCTGGGGTTAAACTCGTCTCCATTGTCCCATTCAGTTGTAAATGATTCCACTTAAAAACTAAAACATTTGCAAACTCCCTTTTACTTTAAGCCTGCAAAGTCGACTGGATCAAATAAAAATTTTAAATGTGAAGAGGGCAGAATAATACCACACTCAGTAACTTAACACTAAAAATTTGACCACCAACACATCTTTAAATGAGACTCCTCAGTTAACTGGGAAGGACTCAATTGCAGGCAGGCATCTAAAGCCTTGGATCAATTTCTCTAGCTGGAATTGTAAAGGGAAAACAAAGCAAAACACTCTATATGAATGAGCCTTCCCTCAACAGGCAGCTGTAGTCAGCAGCAATCACTGCTGCAGTGAGACACAGAGAAGCAGGATAGTGATGCAAGTGACTTTTTTTTTTTCTGGTCTTGGTAAAAGAAATCGTGCTAATTTACAAGATTCATATTTGCTCAGTTGCATATGCTTTTTGCTCTGCACAGATGTGTTCTTCAGAAGCACCTATGGCAAAATAATTCAACGTTCAAACTGGGGTGAGCTCCATATTAGCGTGAGAATCGTAGCCAGCGCCGTTCAGGCCAATTTAGCGAGGGGATGCGGGGATCGCGGGGGCGCCAGGGGTCGGGTGGGCGCTGCCTCGGGAGGACCACGTGGGTCAGGATTTAGGCAGGCCGCTCTCCTGACTGCACCAGGCAGGGCGGCCAGGGCTGGCCTCAAGAGCGCACAACCTCCGAGGCCCCAGGCGCCAGGCCACGCCTTTGCTGCTGTCGCCCAGGTTACCGGCGACCGTCCGGCGCCCGAGCCCGCAGCTCTGACCCTGGGCCTCCCCAGCTCCCCACTTACCAGCCGTTGACCTCATTTTGGGAGTTCACATCCACCCCGCTCTCCACCAGTTTCTGCACCTCCCGAATGTCCCCCAAGGCCGCGGCCTCCCGCAGCCTCTCCTGCTGCTCCTTCTGCTCTAGGAGAGCGCTCATCTTCCCCTCGGACCCAGGTCAGACCTGGGCCCGCCCGCCCCGCCCCGCTCGGGGCCTGTCAGCGCCGCCGCCGCGGCGGCCCACTCATGATCATGGGGAGAGAGAATGGGGATCGCCCGCCCTGCTTGCGCCGCCGCCCGCGTCCGGCCCGGGGCTTCAGCTCCCTCCCGCCGGCCGCCTGCCGCTGGCCCAAGCCTCCTCTCCGGCTGCGCCTCTCGCAGGCCGGCTCCGGGGGACCCTATTCAGAGTGACAACCCTGACCCAGATATTTTCCGTTCCTACCCTAGGTCCTGGCGCCGGGGCAGGCTGTTTATGTAACTGCTGCACAATATTATCTGCTGTGATTCATGGACTATTTTTAGACCTCCCTACCCCACAGCTTCAAGGCAGGAGGACAGACACATGGGAAGAAAAAAAAGCATACTTGAGAGCCAGAAAAGCCTTATCCTCTGGCGCAGGCTGTTTACCAGGCATCAAAAATAATTGGTAGGTTCCCCCCCTACCCCCACCCGTTTGGCTCTTTTTTGTTATATGAGCCAACTCTTACCCAGCAGGATGGGGAAATGGGCTGAAAATGATCCTACTATTATATGCCCATTATTGCAGAGATAGGTTACACTGTTCTTTATTCTTTTGACAGTGCTTGGGACCATTCAGTTCTAATGTTTGTTTCAATTGCTGTTGTTTTACATCTCATTTCTTCTAACGGGGATTTCTTTTAAGTTGGCTTTCAGGCAAAATATTTATATTCTGCCTAGAGTCTATAAACTGTAATTCATTACTGCTTATAAATCACAATTAATTACTATTCATGAAGGTCATGTAAGGAAAAAAAAAGAAAGGAAAGAAAACCAAAGAAACCATAGTGCTATCTTGGTCCTGATGCCAGGAGCTCCAGGGAGAGCTATGGCGTGGATATAAACAGTGTTTTGCCTGACTCCTTGCCTAGTCAACCTAATGAGGCTCAAGAGCCTGGGTTGGCACTGTTTTACTACCCAGTGGGAGAAAAAGGAAATAGCGTTTGGCTGAGCTCAGGTGCTCTGAGAGATTTTCCAATGTGGCACAGGATGAAACCTTGCAGGTGGGGTCAGGAGGATTAAGGCAATAACCCTGTGGAGAAAAGGAGGAAGGCCTGAACAACCAGAAGAGATGAAATAGGAAGGGACAAATTTAGGTATGGAGTTTTTATTTCTCTCTTTTGGGGGCTGCCCAGGGCCTGTACAGCAAGCATTTTTCTTGTTACTGTTTAAGAAAACCAACAATGTCTGTTTATTACAATACAATAATTTACATAATACACAGTGCACACCAGGTGGTGCTGAGTATAAATTAACTGCACACTTAAATTGACCCCCATCGCAGACTGGAACTCTGATTGAGCTTACATTTTTATTTGTCTCCCAATTTAAATTTTAATTCTCAGATATAGCATGATATTTCATCTGAACTGCCTTGCATGGCACTGAAATTGGGCCCTTTAATACAATTTGAGTGACATGGGAGTAGGTAGTAACCTCTTTTTTTAAAAGGCAGTTTAAACAAATCGATAGTGACTGCACTCGAAAGACTGAGTTCTTGTTATGAGTTTCTTTGTCAAATTTCCCTTCCTTAAAAGGATTATAGCACGTGCTCTATAATAACTGTTGAATTGGTGAATATTAATTTCTTAATCTCATACTCTGGTTATCTCTTAACTCCAGGCTCCTGCTTGTTACCCTCACATAAAAAAAAACAAAAACAAACGAACAAAACCACCTTTCTCCACAAACAAAATCTCTAATCCTGGCTATAGCTGAATGCAAGCTGATGGCTATTCTATTGCTTCCATTTATTTACACTTTGTCTTATTTATAGGGAATTATTGAACTCACTGGGTGTATTAAGCTGGCACTGTTTGCCAGGCACTGTTCTAGTCACTGAAGATGCTGCTGCAAACTAAATCAGAGTCTCTGACTTCAAAAAACACACAGTCTGGCAGGGGAAAGGAGGCAAACAACAGAATAAGTATTACAGTAGAAACAGTATGGTACATGGCATAGTGGTTGTGAGCATGAAGACTGAAACTGGGTTGCCTCAGTTTGTATCCCAGATTTGCCTCTCATATAATCTTGGATGAGTTACTTGACCTTTCTGTGCCTCAAATTCGGCATCTGCAAAATAGGGATGATAATAATAGTCCCTATTTTGCAGGATTGTTCTATGGATTGAATGAGTATGTGTGAAGCCTGGACACTGGAAACACTCAATGGATTGAAGATATGTTACAACAAGGTTAAGTCAAGGAAGAAGAACCCAATAAGATGGGAGGTCAGGAAACAAGGATAATACCCAGGTTTCTGGCTGGATAGATACTGGTGCCATTTACTGGGATTTGGGACAAAGAACGAAGATCTCAGGTATGGTGATCAATTCACTTTTGAATCTGTTGAATTGAGTTTTCTGAAGACCTTTAATTACTACTACTACCAACACTTATTGCTAGGCACTACGTTAAGCGTGGTACATGAATTATCTATGAATGATTTCATTTAGTATTCAAAACATTATTATTATTATTATTATTATTATTATTATTATTATTATTATCTGAGGCTCAATGCCATGCAGCTTAGCGAGGGAGCAAGGCTTTGAACTCAAGCAGTTAGACTCCAGAGCCTGTGCTTTCTTTTCTGATTTTCACTTAAGTGGAGATGCCCAGTAAACAGTTGTGTATATGGATGTGGCATTTAGGAAGGAGTTCTGGGCTAGTGATTTGGATTTGGCAGTCAACAGCAAAAGGTGCTAGCTGAAGACATGGGAATGGAAGAGATTACCCCCAAGAGAGTATATTGAGTTATGAAAGAAGACAGCCAAAGATGGAACCCCAAAGAATACCCAACATTTTAATGATGGACAGAAAAGGAGAAATCCTTAAATGAGACTGAAGAGGAGCAGCTGGAATAGGAGGAAAAGCAAAGGAGTGGGAGGATTTGGAGAAAAGAGTGATTCACAGGGTCAAATGCTGCAGAAAAGGCAAGAAAGAAAGGACTAAAAAGTATATAATAAATTTATCCACAAGATTAGTGGTGACCTTGGAGAGGGAGGTTGCAATGGAGTGGCAGAGATGGCAGCCAGACTATAATGGAGTTAGGAGTGAACCGTAGCTACCACCTAACATGTTATATACTGTGGGAGAATGTGGGACTATAAGGAGGAATAAGAAATGGCATCTGACCTAAAGAACTTTCTCATAGTTCTGTTCATCAAAAGTCCAAGAGCAAGGTGTCAGCAGGTTTGGTCTCTCCTGAGGCCTCTCTCCTTGGCCACCTTCTGGCTGCATCCTCACATGATCTTAACTCTGTTGCTCATCCCTGGTGTCTCTGTGTGTCCAAATTTCCTCTAAGGACACCAGTTAGATTGGCTTGGGGCCCACCCTAAAGGCCTCATTTTAACTTAATCACCTCCTAACGGCCTTATCTCCAAATACAGTCACATTTTCACATACTGGGGATGAGGCCTTGCATTCTTTGCTTGGCTGAAGATTTACCATCTTTTAGGTCTTAAGTCATTTCCAACAGAGAGGCCTCTCACTCTTTGACACAACCCTGCATTTCCCCCTCATCATAATAGCTGATGACTAAATGAACTCAAAATGTGTTGGGCCTGTTCTACATGCCTTACATTGCATCAATTCATTTAATATTCACAATAACTTAATGTGTGCATTTGACTATTATTATCATAAGACCCATTTTGCAGATGGGGAAAGTAAGACAGAGTGGCTTAGCTGGAATTACCAACGCAGGAGATTGGCTTTAGCGTCCATACCTTTAACTAGAGTACTTATCACAATTTATATTGACATATTTGGTATTATTCCTTTAGTGACTGTATCCCTCACTAAACCTCAAGGTGTGTGGGAGCAAGGACTATGTCTGAAATGTTCAGAGCTTAGCTTCAAGCTTCAAGAGCTTACCTGGCACATGGTAAGTACTCAGGTATTTGTTGAATAAATGAATCAGTAATTTTTTAAAAATTCCATACTGGGAAGCATCAGGTGCAGGGCTGAATCCATACTCTGCGTGACCTCATAGAAACCGCCTTCTCTTTCTGCTTTGACTTCCCACCCAGTGAATCCGGGGAATCCGGGTGGGAGGACCAAGCCAGGTACAAGAGGCGGCTAAGGCAAGTGACCAGGAAAACGGAGTTCGAACATGGAATGAGTCCTGATCTTCAGTTTTCTCCACTGGAAGATAGCACCAAGTGCGCTGCGGGGGACAAAGGGATACACTGGAGTTTTCTCCATTTCGGAGCGGCATCAAAGCTTCAAGACGTATGCTCCTATAGCTCACTGAAAGACCTCGGGAAGACCGGCGCTTGTGGAAACGGGCGGGTTGAGTTACCCGGCAGAATAAGCAAAAAGGGTAGTCCAGGCCCGCCCTCGGCAGGCCCCGCCCCTAGGCCAGCGGAAGCGAGCCCGACCTCACCTCCCTGGCCTGGGCGTGTCCCCAAGGGCGCACGCGCGCGCACGGCATGCTGGGAGAGCGCCCGCGCGGCGGCCATTTTGTCTTATCGGCTCCTTTTTAGAAGAGGCTTTTTCGGCCTGCGAGCGGGCAGAAGAGGTTAGCGACGGTGTCGCTGGCGTTGTCTTCGGTCGGTGCCAGGGCTGGTGGGAGCAGCCGCCCGAGGGAAGCACCATGATTTCGGCCGCGCAATTGTTGGATGAGTTAATGGGCCGGGACCGAAACCTCGCCCCGGATGAGAAGCGCAGCAACGTGCGGTGGGACCACGAGAGTGTAAGTCCCGCGGGCTTTGGGCCTGTGCCGGGGCGCCGTGGGGGAGGGGAGCGGAGCGGACTTGGGCCCGCCGGGCCCGCGACGCGATTTGGGGCCAGGGGCACGCCGGGGTCGAGTGTGTCTGACCCCGTGGCGGGAGGGAGCTGAGAGCATGGCCTGGGAGGGAGGAGACCGCGCGGATCCAGGGATAAGAGGTGATTTGTTTTTGTTGTTGTTTTAGTATCGAGGAAGTCAAGAGGGCTCTTCTTGGCAGAATTGAAAAGCACCTTAATAAGGCAAGGAAACGCGGGAAAGGAGTATTACATCTAGAGTTTCCTGAATTTTCTCCTCATGAAATAAAAGAAAAGGACAAATTCTTCCCGTTATTTGGATTGAGCGTCGTATTTAGACCGAAATTTCTGGCCCAGATTAGTGGTAAAAATCTTGGCAGTATATTATTTCAGTAGTG